CTTCTGATGACTGTAGTGTTCTGAGCTTAACCATACAGACAGATACGGGTTGTACATCCTTTTACACTGCAGTCCTCTCTTCAGTATGGCCTATGGTTAGTCTTCAGAGTTCATGGGGTAAACAGTAAGTCATATATAAATGAATTTGTAATGTATAGTTGATATTGATCATAAGTCAGTGTGCTAATTCTTTCAAGTAGTGTGTGTCTTAGAGGGTCTTTCACTTTTTTAATGTAGTTAAAATCAGCATGTATGGATGTAATTTAAAGTATCAAGTGTGTGGAATATTAAGACAATTATTATTTTAAGGTTTTATTTAGGGAAGACTTAGTTACATTCCCCCCCTAAATACAATAAGATGCTAAAGATTTTTAGCCCAAGATGAGTCATCTTTTGTTTTATTTAAATGTGCCCTAGTTAAATGTCCCCTCTGCTTTTTTTTTCTCAATATTTGGATCACATTGTGGTTTTTCATGTTAAATATTGCTGTTTTTAAATCTTGTCATGCTTAATAAGTACAAGCCAAATGAATTCCTTCCCTTCTTTCCTCGAAATGAATCCTCTGACTCACCAGGTAAGTTAAGTCACTGCAATTGAGAATGGAGAAAGGTTTTGAGTCATCCAGGATGCAAAGTGAGATACACCTGTGCATGTACTTTTTCTTCCAGTAAATACGTTGAGATTCTAATTGTAATTATTTCTCTAAACTTTTCTAATGCTGGTGTATAGATAAACTATTTAAAAAGGACAGTGTCTCAAAGAAATCTGTTTCCGTGCATGTAAACACTGTTAATACTGATGTATAATTAGGGGTAAAGAGTAGTTGCTTTATTAAATGAAATAAATAGGATTTTAGTGAATATTTTTGTATGTAAGCTTTCAAGTACAGTGGCTGAAGTTAAGGATTTATTCATTCTTTTATGATTAAAATAAATTTCATAGGGTTTCAAACTGTGTGATGACTACTTAGAACTTCGTCTTCATGATTTTGCTTTTGAACTGGTCTCACTGGTGATTTTAAATAGTGCAGTCTCTAGTGTTTGCAAGAACAATGTACTGCCTGAATTAATAGGGTTTTATTACAAAAAATTGATTGAATAGTCGTTGAGTGTTTTTAAATTTTGAAAAAGGCTAGAATATTTAAAAATTATTAACTCTGAAATTTTGGTTTAATTACACAAAGGGTGTCCAGGGAGGAAATGTTGAAACTTCACAAATTAGCTCTTAAGACGGTTCTAAGCATATTTTGTCTAATAAACAACTGAGATTTCGAATGGTTTCGCCACAATTGGCACTCTAAAGTTGGAAGTTGGTTTGTAAAAATGCTTTCTAGGCAAAAATTTGCATTGCAGAAGCATAGAAACACTCCAGAAATATGCATATTGTTTATTATTTGTTTTATATATATATATATAAAAATGTTCTGTCCCAAAATCGTGTAGTCTGATATATCTATTAATTATTTTTGAATTCTACTTTTTATGTATTCTAGCTACATACACATACACTAGTCTCCAGCTGGGAATGACAAAACAATAGAGTACCAGTCTGGAGGAAGTTGAGTTATGTTATGAAATTTGAATCATTTTTGCATTTACTGTTAGGCATACCAATGTGTCTACTAATTATTTCACAGAATGTAAAAGAGTCTTGAAATTTGAAAGAAAATATGTATTTAATAGAATATTCATTGCAGTGCTTTCTTTTCTATTTTGATGTATTGAACTTCAACGTTTAGTCAATATTAATCATTGAAACGCTAAAGTAATGTACACACCCAATTTTGAAATCTTGTTAGAAGCTTGAAGTTGTCTAGGAGGTGAATATTGAATCGTTCTTGCCCAGTTATGCTGAAATTTAACAGATATATTAAAGTAATCTTTAACTTAAAGTTTACTTTAAATTATCTATTATACAATTTTAATTAAATTTGGGAGTTTTAAAATTTAAAATATTTATTAAGAAATTTGGTATGTTTTTGGATTAAGTGGAAATAAATAAGTTTCCACTGAAAAAGCATTGCGAAAATACACATTTTGCTATTCTATGAGTATTACAATTTGCTTTGAGGACTAGGGTAATTGGTTTACCTTCGACTTGACTTAATGGTGTGAAAGAAGTCATCATCAGAGTTAAGCAAGATTCATGTCCTGCCAACGCCTCAACTAAGTGGGTAAAAAAGGCATTGATTAAAAAGCCGTTCAGAAGATATTTCTTTAATAAATGAAATTTATTAAATCATAGGCTTAATTCAACCATAATTCTAGGAGAGGATAGAAAGGTACTTGCTCTCCCTCCTATCCTGAATTTTTTATGGAATATATTATGCTATTTTGTTACATATTAGAGTTCTTTTGTATAGTTCAGGTTCAAATTTTATTACAATTCTGAATTTGTACTTGTATCAGTAAAGAAGTATAACAGCATAAGCGAAACCTTGATTTTACGTGGATCATAAAATTATAAATGTACTTGACCACTGAGGATGATGTGCGTAAATCTGGATAAACTCAATTGTTTTCTTATCATATGTTTATGCTTTTGTGTTGTAACTCAAAATATTGATTGAGATATCATGGTAAATCCGTTAAAAAAATTGTTACATGGAGTAAGTCTTCTGGCAGTATATCACAAATGCATTGTTATTTCATGATCGGAATTGTTTGTACAGAATAATGTCAAGGAGGAATTCAGGATTTTATAAATATTTTTAATAATAAATGAAAAATTAACAAACCTTTTCTTATTCATCTTGAAATTCGTTGTTTAGTGGATAACAATTGTTGAAGGGAAATTACTCTTTGTGCATACAGCAAAATTTTTTCGTTGCAGTATTCCAGAACTGTGATGTCATTACATTTAGGGTATTAGTAAAAGCTACATGCTTGATTCACTTTTTGATCGTGTTGACAATTTCTTGGTAGACAAGTTGGGTAGCATTTTGAATGCCTTTACAAATTAAAGAATTATATATATTGACATCTATATTTTAAATAATTTATCTGCATTTAAACACTAAATCCTGCATGAATTGAAATATAAAGAAGCAGGAAACTTATTCTACTGCTCAATTAACATTGTTTTTATTTTTCTCCAATTAACATCCATTATTTGTAAACTAGGGTGCAGTTGCTTCTAAACAAATCTACGGGAGAGGCAGTGGCCATGAAGGTGATAGAACTGGGGAAACTTGGGGTCGACCAAATGGTTAAAAAAGAAGTTTGCATCCATCGTAGGCTGAACCATCAAAACATAATCAAATGTTTTGGAAGTCGCCAGGAGGCCAACAAACACTACATTTTCTTGGAATATGCATCAGGAGGAGAACTCTTTGATCGAATAGGTAAGAAGCAAATTACTTTAGAGCCGACAGGGTTCACTTTTCAAGAAATTGAGTAATTTTTCTTTAATTATGCCTTAATTAATTGTAAGAAATATTATGGTGTATTAACATGCAATACAAAGAAAAATAATTGTTATTTTCTCTTTTAAAATGACCTTTACTGTACACGGCTACTTTTATAGATGTAGTGATCTTGTGTGTGAATACTACAAATGAAATTAAATGGTTGGACATATCACATTGTAATGTCTGTGCCAGACACAAAGCCATTATGAATCAGAAGCTTTGGCATTTAAGTGTGGTCAGAGAGTTACTTATACAATGTAAAGGGATGCCTTGAATGTCACAGTTAATCAGTTGAGCACCATTACAAATACCAAGAGTAATGTTAATTGTGACAATGTGTTGTGAAGAAAGCGTCCTATTAAATGCTAATCGAATGTCATGGTAGCTATATTGTGACGTAATGAAGCACGTGATACATAGCTAAGCCGTCACCTTCCACATGAAACTGTCAGCCACCTTATTTTATTTGTGCTTAACATGCATTTCTTGGTCAGCAAGCATTTTAATAGTAATTGATCCCTTTTAGAACCTGATGTTGGAATGGAAGAGTGGCAGGCACAGAAATACTTCAAGCAGCTTCTAAATGGTGTGGTGAGTATAAATTTCATACACGCAGAATAATTTGTATTAATTAGTTAAAACTGATAATTTTATCTTACTGTAGTTTGAAAGTGGTTCAAAGCGTTCATTTATAATAAAAATCAAAACAATTTGAATGTTTGCTTCAGTGTTTTGGTATTAAATTTTATTTTCCCACTTTCTCTTATATCTATTCCAAAACAATTATTTCTCCTAGTTAATTATATTAATGTTTCATAACGCAGGCCTTCTTCTCCGCAGGAGTACATGCACTCCCAGGGCATTGCCCATCGAGACTTAAAGCCTGAAAACCTGCTTCTGGACAACCATGATAACCTCAAGATTTCAGACTTTGGTATGGCTACAATATTCCGCTTCCGTGGACAGGTTAGTTCTTTTCTTCAGAGACAATGTTCTTTCATATAATTAATTACAGAAGATAGATCCACACTGAGAGTAGATCCATGATAATGAAATTTTAAAAAAATATAATTGAATATGTTTTTATATTCATGATAATTAAACTTACCACAAAAGCTTGAGTGTAAGAAACAAAGAACTATGAAATAAACTACAAATTCTAACTAGCGTTGCATCCAACTGCCTGCCATAACCATTCATTTTATGTTCATGAAAAGCATAAAATTCTGGGCGACTGTTTGAAGTCAAATTACTCAAAGAATACTCATATTTTTGAAAAATTAAACATGACTGTATTTGAAGTTCTGTTTTTGGTGAACACATTTCATTAGCTACACATGTTCATCTTCATAATTGTAGGTGTAGGAAGGTGTTGAAAAAAAAATTTGTAGTTTTCGAATATTCAGGGTTTCAAACTAACACAAGATCTGGTTCATTCTCGTAAACGTCCTTCTCAATATACAGTAACAAAGTTCAATAAAAAAAATAGAGCCACTTTTTGGAAAATATCCTAGGGTCTGCATGTAAAGAACTCTTCAAAATTAAAGTATAGGTTTCAAATTCCAGGGGCCACGGCTTCAGGCAGATCGGGGAATATCGATTTTGGAGAAAATGGTCTTAAACAGTGTAGCCGCTAGCATTGTTCATAGATGGAAAAGTGTTTTGCTGTCAATTGATTTTGCAATATAAAGGACCCACAAATCATGGATTCTGGCTACACCATGTGTTGGTGATTTTAGTATTGTCTCGCTCTCGCTCATTCAAGATAATTGCAGATGTCGGAAACTTCTATCTAGTTTGTACCAACTCTTAGTACTTGATTTTTTGAGAGTTCGGTAACGGGACATTGCCAACTCATCATGCAAGCTACTGGCTATAGCAAAACCTAACTTTGTTACCACCACATGAGTGTAAAGTGCTATATTTGTGTCGAAGTGAAGGTGTACATGCTGTGGCCAATGTGACTAGGATAGTACACAGCAGGAAATATTAGTAGTGTGCAATTATTTTATTATTAATCATTCCATTATGTTTTTAAATTTGCAGGAGCGACCTCTAGAAAAGCGCTGTGGTACTCTTCCATACTTGGCTCCTGAAGTGATGCTCCGAACATATCTGGCAGAGCCAGCTGACATCTGGGCCTGTGGGATAATTTTAGTTGCCATGTTGGCTGGAGGTAAGTAGTAGATTATCTGTGGAAATAGATTGAAGTATTAAAATATCAAAATTTTGGTATAAATAATATAGTGCATGCAGTTAACACTTGTGTAATGTAATCTTGGTAAGTGGAAATTAAACTATTAAATCTAATTAATTGAAAAAGTGTTGCATTGCCATGGCTTACATAGCTTTTTCTGAAAACTGTTGGTTAGGCTAGAGTGACTAGAAGATCGATGAAGGCGATATTTGTTGAAGAAAAGGATAACCCATTATTTTAAATAGCAATATAACATGACACAGTTGGTACATATTATGTTATATTTTTATGGATGTATTCTGACCGATATATAGTACGGATACATCCAAAACTAACAAACCTTGATGTGCAATTGAGATATAGGTTCTAGATACACAAACTTTACTTTCAGCTTCAGAATCCTTCCTTGTCACTTCGAATCCAGTATATTTGCTAGTTAGGGCATCGTTAAAATTAAATTTTTGCTTTGGCATTTTAAAATGTCACAATATATATGTGGCAAAACAAAAATGTTGAGAGTTACCTTCAGCTGAATCGCCAACAGTTCACAAAATAACTAAAAACAAGAATGAGTAAACTTCTTGATTAGCACTGAGAACTGAAAATATTGTAGTGATAGTGCTGCGGTATATTAGTACAAACAGGAATCGAAATAATTTCAAAATATCGCCCTTGGATGAGCAAATTACTAAAAGGGGTGTGGGGATATTTCGTGAGTTTAATCTCTTATGAGTTTAATTTAACTTCTGTTCCCTGGACTAAATATAAAGAACACGTGTCCATAAAGCATGTCTGGATACCCTAGGTTAGCATCTAGCATCTACCTCGTAAGGTCTAAAGGGCCACAACTAAACCCTTCAATATGGTTTTGGGCCATGTTTACATTAATTGGGCGATCCACACCTGACTACCTCGTATTGTTGAAAGGCCGTTTGCCCAGGTGCTCTGGAAGGGGGGGTAGAACCATGTGTGATATTAGGCTGTACCATGCATAATGCAGAGAAATACATTGAGATGATTTTGAATTTCTGAATTTACTAGAAAAAATTTATTCTTAAATCTAAACATCTTTTTACATCAGTGGGGTGTCTTTACTACAACAGGGCATGTGCGCTAGGCTCAAAATGTTCACCGAATATGGATGCAAGGGATTTTTACTTTTGGTGTCTAATCTTCCGCTGACCACAATAAATGACCGCACGGGCCGCCAGTTTGACAACCCTGACCTATATGAACTAATTAATCCTGAAACCTTTTTGTCTCAAAACTTTTTGGGGTAAGTAAAAAGAAAATAGTGTTTTTAATGAATTATTTCTAGAATAAAGGTAATTTTAGGTATAATCATGAAAGAATATTTTCCTATTAGAAATTTCTTAGACTTGTGTAATTCTATTTAATAAGGTGCATTTATAACATAGCTTTAAATTTTTGTCTCGTATTGTAAGCTTAAACTTGTCCATTTATATTTAATGCTTGCTGGATACTTATTAACGCTGCATTATTTTGTATAATTAGCAGGGTATGGTTTGTTCATGATGGTTGCTCTGCATGTATTTTGCCTTCCACTAAACTGCTAACTGTAAAGTTTTGACTTTTATATTTGTGATCAGAGATTGTTCATGCAATTTGTGAAAGATTAAACTGCATTTTTACCCAATTTAACTACGAAATGTTAGGATTGAGTGTTTCTATTAAACATTTACTGTTGACTTGTTGCTAGAAGTGCTGTTAAGAGGATAAGGGCAACTGCATGAAAAATACTTGGAGGGTGGGGGGTCTGAAATTGAGCAAGTCTTGCTTTTTAAAGCTCTTGCTTCTTTGGGAAATGCTCTGAATTTTCAGTCCCTGAAATATTTTTTATTATTTTCTTGAAGTTATTTGGTCAGTTCTTTACCTGCTACTTCGTATGTTGAGTCTGTTCTGTCAATTTAAGTTGTTCATAATGAAAATGTATGGTCACTTGGAAACCCCAACTCTTATGATATATGTGCGAGTACAGTAAAACTTCATTTTCACATTTTAATGGGTCTGACTGGGGGATGTGAGAAAAACGCATAACAGAAAATGTGTCCACACTTCTCATCAGGTGTTCCAGTGGAAGGCTGACAAGTCTTGTGTACAAATAAACTTCAACAATCTGAATGCTGAACCTAACACATTTCTTAGGAAACGACTCTTCTGGATGATGTATGTGGTCATGACTTACGTATTTACACAAGTGTGAAAAATGAATAAGCATATAATGCATATCTGAAACTATTTAATCTGGGACGTATAGTAATTTAACTGAGACTTCTTAATATCTTATAAACATGAGAAACGTAGAAGTACAAAATGTATGAATGGAGTTTTACTGTATAAAGTTCCTTAAACATGGGTGAAGTGAAATGTGTATTGAATTTCATTTTTGAATTCGATTACTTATTTGATTGTATGTGTATCAGTTGGAGAGTATTTTTAAAATATGGTTATAATTGCTTACCAAGCGGATAGGCTTGTAGTCCAAAGTTTACCATTATGAATCAAAGAGTGAAGTTGTTTAACATGCAATGAGGAAATAAAATCTGATTTTTTTTACTTGCTCTGTTTGTTTTGAGTCTTAACAGCACTTTTGTAACCAATTGAATTGTCAGTAGTGTATGCCATACTTCCGTGATGTCATTAGATCAGATCTCGAGAAAAAATGACTGCCAATTCCAAAAGAAAATTCATTACCAAGATATCCAGGTATATGAGCTCTAGCATCTTCATTTGCAGCAGATTTTCATTTAGACTATTCCTGAAATGTGTGACAATGTCTTTCACTTAGAGACTTAACAATTTGACAGTTAAAGAAAGTGAAGCTTTCATTTGTATATAAAAGATGCCTAAGATACTAATGTAAAAGTAAAACAAGAAAGTAAAAAGATTTTAACAGTACACAGCCTTCTATTGATTTATAATAAATGCTTTGTCGTAATTGGACATTATTAAGTACTTCACCTAATACTAGCAAATTAACCAAGCTTTTGGTGTTCGGGAAAACAGTTAATTATTTTAGTTAAAAACTATGTCCTGACTAGTGGTTTGCTCTGATTTGCCTGAAGTGGCCTGCCTACTAGCTGTGGCATCAGCCTGCTGCTCTAGCTTTGGAGCAATTCATAGAAAGCAGCTGCAAGCAGCGTGAAGAGCTCGTAAGGGATTGGCCCTTTCTTTGGTATGCTAGCTGTAGGGTTGAAAGCTCGCACCTAAAGCTAGGGTACCGAAGTCAGGGCTTCTCTCGCACCCTCCCTCCCCCAGGGATCGCAGGAACTGAGGATGAGCTGGTGCCTTGGTATTTTTGCTGTCCCATATGTGTTTATGTGGAAAGTATTGAGAAGGGAAGGAAGGAATCATTTTTAGGGGAAAAGGGAGATGCTTGATGCATGAATACTTTTCAAAAATCCTCTTTGATCATCTATTTGTGACACCAAAACCTTAAAATTTTCTTAATTCTAGAGTTCTGATACATCCATTGAATTGGAAATTCGTATGTGAGGTAGTTTGACAAGGATAAACACTTAAGATTTTTTGCTTTTTTCTCTGTTCTTTATGAATTTCCTGAAAACATTACCTTTAAATGGCTTTACTTGATGTTTATGCTATTGTTTTATGAAGCACTCTTTAACAAGATAGTAAATAAAATCTATTATAGACTAAAATATGGTAAGCAACAAAACAAATTTTGAGTATTCCATTTTAGAATTATAATGTAAATTTTGGGTTTTCATTTCCCTACATACTCAGGGGAAATAAATTTAATTTCTCATTGGAGGAAGAATAAAATCTATTTTCAGAAGGGACTTGAAACCTGTAGCAGCATTAAAGCTGAGAGGGTGAAAAAATCGAAGTGTTTTTATACCACACTAGTTTATACAGATCAATTTTTAAAAGTATTTAAACTATCAGAAATAGTATGAGGAGGGAAAGAATGGTTTCCTGACATTAGGGCAAAATGTTTAAAGAATATAAAATTTGGAAGAATTTTGTTTAATGTCAGTGTTATTATCTTGTCAATTCAGTAGCTACGGTAAATTGCATCTGATTCAGGGTCCTGTGTAGTCTGTGAAAGTATAAGAACAGTTTTGGCACTGATTAGTGCTATATTGTTGGTGAAGTAGTTGTTTGTAATAGCTTGTCTTTAATGTACATCTGTATCGTACTAAATAAATTTGGTTTGCAATCTTGAATTTCGTACATAATTTTTTAAGATCGATAAACTTTAGTGCTTTATGGTACTTAGCATCTTGTTTACCTTCTATCTTCAGTGATAAATGGATTAAATTTCATAATACATTGTTTGAGCATGAACTTAAGAGAAAATATTTGGGGTGTAAATAGAAAACCAATTTCATTTGGTGATTTCTTAAGCAGGTGATGATCCATTATGTTTCTTGTATTTTACCTTCCTGCTTTAGGAGTATTTTTAATGATGGTTTCTTACTGTCAAAATTTAAATGGTATCATATGTGATAAAAAAAATAACAAAGACTTCTATAAAACAATTTTGGGAAAGTTTTGAAAAACGTTTGTTGGAATGGATTATTCATGTACACTTTCAATTCTTCCAATGATTGATTGATTGATTGATGTATTTGCCAACTCAAGTGTATATGAATGATTAAAATGTATCTGGAGATTACTGGGAAAATGCTGCAATCCTTCTTGTTCTTTGAATATGCTACATGCTGATCTCAGTTCATGCTGGTAATATATGTGCATTAGTTTCATGTCAAACTTTTCCAATGGTATTTTTATTTCTAAAGCGACTTATGAATCCCAATGTTAGTGTGTTATCTTCTGCATTGCATTCTGAGATTGCAGTTTTAATGTAGTTATTGTGAATTCTCATTGTAATAGATTGCTTTAATATACTTAAGTTTGTTGTTTGTATGCTAGTCGTGCATGGTTTTGAATTGATAATTAAAACGTGTTGAGTAATTGACTATAATTTTAAGTTCAAAATATTTGGCAATTGACTTCTATTTAGCAGAAATGTTCCTAATGTATTTATTATTGCAGTATACTTTTGTTTAATATGTAAAAAATATATTACAGCTAGATTTGCAACACAAAAAGAACTCCCTTAGAATAAATTATTTATATTTGTGTTCGAATGGTTTTGAAATAGATTTTGGACGTCCATTCCCAACTGGTCAGTTTTGAGTGTATTGTTCAACCAAAAATTGTGTGCACCTGCTGCTTTTGTTACTCTTCTACACATCATTTAGACTTGTTTTCCTTACAAAACTCTGTGGAAGACAATAGACATGTAAGATGTTGGAGAGGACTGCACTGGAAAACTAGGAAATTTTTTTATTCTGGAGAAAGTAACAGGAAAATTTGGGAGTGTTATTACAAGTCCTGGAAATTTTTTATGCAGTTAAAAGCTGGATATTTTACTTAAAAGAAGAACACGATACATTGTAACTTGTGAGCACTCTGTACCTTGAGGGGAGAGCGCTGACTCATTTTGAAATTTCATTTGTCAGCAAGTGTTTTCACAATCTGTGGTTGCTTCTAGTTAATGTTTTAAATATTAATGAAAGGAATGTCTGCAAGCACTTCTTGCAATATTTCTGAATGTGACATGCTCACCTTGAGCTTACTGCATATTTTTATAATGAAATTCTAAAATTAGTGTATTATAAATAAAGTTTATTAGCACTGTGCTTTTGAACATTACTGTACAAACAGGTCCAAAAAACTAATTGATTAAAAATCAAGAGACATCTGATATAGTAGGTATTGATTACTTTGAGGCCTTACTATTTTTAAATGCATTTGGTTTTTTTCTGGTTTTTATTTAAAAAACTAGAAGGGACGGGAGCAGTTAACTAGATGGGTGTTGTCAGCTGGATATGTGGGGTACCTTCTGTCATATTAAAAGTCTTCAGAATTAGCTATTCCCCACATTCCCGTAGAGGAATTTTCACCCCTATGCACCAGTAGCTGAAGTTAATGAAGCCTGGATTGTAAAGTTTTGGCTTGTTTCCCTTGCCCCAAAAGTTTCCCAAAATGCACTAGCATATCAAGGATTACTACTATTTGGTTGAATTTATGGAAAAAATTATTTCAAAACATTTTAGTAATGCTGGAGGATTTTGCTTGTATTTTAGAATATATTTTAAAGTTTAAAGATAATTTTACATTTGAAGCAGAATTGTTAATTTTGTAAATGTAATGCATTCTTGAAAAGTATTTGCCAGAATATCAAGTGAGATATTGCTTTTGTGTGCATGTCAGAACTTCCATGGGATCAACCAACAGCAGACTGCCCAGAGTTTATGGCATGGAAGGATCGTAAGTGGCACACTCTCAGTCCATGGACCAAGATTGACACTGTAGTCCTGTCCTTGGTTCAGAGGTTATTGCTGCCACTGCCAAAGAGCAGAGCCAAAATACCAGAGATCAAGGGGCATCGTTGGATGCAAAAGAAGTTTAGCAGAAATATGGGTGAGTCAACCTATGAAGTCTTATGCTCGCTACATCCACTTTTTTCTCTTTCTCCTCTGCTAGTGGGATTTCATAGGAAGTTTCTGGATAATTTTATTTGGAGTGGAAGAACTATGTGGTCTTGTGTGGACAGGTACAAAGTGACTCTGAGCTGCTTTTGAGTCCCTGAGTCGCTTTGTGCCTACCTGCACAGCACATATGTGCAGCAAAAAGAAGAATACAGTATCAACGGAAGGTAATACTCAAGAAGTCCTTCCCCCAAAAAAATATTTAAAAGTCTGTGTAAAGTATATTGTAAAATAATTGTATGTATTTTGAAATCTGTTATCATTAAAATAGTCGGTGCTCTTTCTGCAAAACACTGAAAACCGGGAAAAATCAGGAAATTTGTAGAAGAATTGTTGTAAGTCGGAAAAGTGAAAAGGTGGTTATAAAACTAGGTATTATTCCCCCAAAATATAGTGCAGCAATTTTTTTGCTCAGTTTCTGTTTGATATTTAATTTGTACTTTGTGTAATAGAACTGACAAATTAGTTTGAGGCTTGCTTCAATATTTTCATTTGTGTGAAATACTCTACTAAATCTTATCTGTGAAGAATTTTAAAAATGCTCTGGAAACTGGGAAATTTCTACAAATGTTTGCAGTTTCTTGAGACAAAACTCTGCATCAGAACTCTCTTCACTTGTTTCTGGTGGTTCCTTAGTCTACAATTTAAGTTCCTTTCTATTAGGCTGTGATTTGTTGTAGCATCAAATGTTTAAGACAGTGGTATTTCCAACTTCTTTAAACTTTTCAGCCCACTTGTTACAAACTAGCTTCTGTGTCTCAACTGCTTATTAAGCTATATGCAAGAATGCCAGGTTTTCTCCAATAATTAGAAAACTGTTTTACATTAAAAACATTCTACCAATTAGCATATTTGAATTTCCATGTTATAATGTTATTTTATTTCTGTCATATTTCAGTGCCCAATTTATAACCAGAATACAGAAAGTCGAAACGCGGGCTGGTCATTTTAATAAGAAATGGAACAGTCTGGAAGATATCCCCACATGAGAAAAATGTATTCCATATCACCACAATCGCAAAATATTTTGGATTAGTAAAATCAATAAGTGTTTTTTTTTTTTTTTTTATTTATTATATTTTTTTTTTTTTTTTTTTTTTTTTTTTTTTTTTTTTTCAGCGTTCTTTTCAATTCCATTCAGTGTTCTTTTCAGCATCGTTAAATTATCTTATCTACGGTTCTCAAGGTCTTCTCTTCTAACATCAGACTGACAGTCCTTGCTTTAAAATGCTTCATGTTCATCAAAAGTTGCAAATATTTCCTGAAAGCATTGATCCAGAAATAGTAATGTTATAAGACCTTGACCTGTTTGCATTGCTTCTTTCTCTTCATGAAAATTGCTCATTTTCTATCTACTACAGTGAATTGTAATTTGTTTATTTAAAAATGAAAATGGTATGCTTGCCTTTTATTGTATATTACTAAGTTAATATTGTAATAGAGGCCTGTCCTTCAACATGGTTCATTTTTTATGATCTCTACTTTTGGTCTACCATGAATTGGTTCAATTACTTCGTGCAGTATGCAGTATTGCAGTATGTTGGTAAATCAACAATAATCAATCCATCTTGGTTTTTCAAACATACAACCACAATTTTCTAATACAGTATTCACAGCTTCACTCAAGTAGGACTTAGAGATGCTGCAAGCTTCACAATATTAGCCCCCAGTGCAAAAGTTTGTTTTTATTCAATTGGTGATTTAACAACTTTCTTTACTAAGATGTAAGAATTCATTTTATTACATTTGATGATAGTTATCAATATTTGTGTTACATCCAATCACTGTGTAGACCAAAAGAAAGTGTTCTGAATAAAACAGGAAATTCAACTGACAGCCAAGGGCAGATAATTGAGCAATACAATAACTTACAACCCAATATCTCTTACTATGTGATAATGAAATAAAACCAATAATTTGTGAAAGTAAAAAAATCGTGTTGAAATGTTAAAACCCAACTGAGATAATTTGGGAACTATTTTTAAAAAGGCAAATATATTTTGTTAAATAATGACTTGTCTCATTGGGGTGCTGCAGTTGGTGTCATCCGGCCTGCCATCCAAGTGACGCCCCCTCGGCCTACCAAACGCCTATGCTCTGATGTGGACTTGCCTTCACCTGAGCATGTTTCAACACGCCTGTGCCAATCTCAACCAGAAACACGCATAGTGTGTGCAGTGGACACAGATTGTGATGATTCGCCGAATGCTGATGTGGTGAGCTTCTCACAGCCAGCACAGTTTGAGGATCTGTTGCTGAGCTCCCAGTTGCACTCGACTCAAAGCACTACGACCAGTCAAAATGTGTACCAGAAGCTAGTCAGACGCATGACACGCTTCTTTGTGAAGCTCTCATGTGAGCAGAGTATTAAATTACTTCTCTCTGCTTTGGGTGACCACGGATGGTCATGTAAGGCCACAACAAGGCAGGTGAGTTACATACATACAAAAGAAAAAAGTATGTTAATTTATCAAGTTTTGGTTAAAAATATTCATGTGTGTTAGCTCTGATAACATTCTACTGTTATAAGCAGAATCAGTTTTTTTTAGAAAGTGGCACGTGTTAAAGGCTAATCTTTCTGATATTTCTGACTAGGGTTTTGTGTCACTACCTTTGTGTCAAGTGTGTGTTTTTATCATCAATTTCTTAAATTATTGACCAGACTAACACCATTGCAGCAGCCCTGATTTATTTATTTATTTTTATTTAGGTGACTGTAACCTGTGTAGACAAGAGAAAAATGCCTCTTACATTCAAGGTTAACGTTTTGGATATGGATGGCCAGACATTGCTGGATTTCCGCTTATCGAAAGGGTGTGGCTTGGAGTTCAAGAAATGTTTCCTGAAAATAAAGGAATCTTTGGAAGAAGTGGTTGAAAAGGGTCCTGTGACATGGCCCATTGCCATTGCAACTAACACAGTACCCTGACACAAATATGCAGTCATTACCTATAATGAGGGAAAATGCTTTTACTGGCTTGTTTATTACAAGAGTATGAAATAAGCAAGAACTTTCGTGTGTTGTTGAAATTGCAAGATACAGATATCTTCATGCAGTCAACTGGAAAAGGTGTCTCAATGCATGAAATGTGCTATTATTATGTGCCCAAATAGCAATGTCTTTCAGACACTTTGTCAAATTACAATCCATTGCAGATATTTTGAACTTTACACAAGAGAACGGAAAAACATGGAGTTCCAAAAAATATTGATTCTTTATTAATGTCTTGGCAGTAGAATTGCTGAGTGGTTATTGTGTATGGTTTTCTATCAGTAATTTTCAAAATTTAATTTTGGACTTGCTTTGGGGAATTTGGGGGAAGAAGCTTGTACATGAATGGAAAAATTCAATATTTCTAGATCTGAACCTCAACTCAGTCGGGTTTTTTCATCCTGTTGTTACTTCAAAGTGGAGAGAGTTAGACTTCGGGTTTCTGCCAAGGATTGTAATTCATAATTTCCTTGTTACTTGTAACATGTATATAACATGTCAACTTGTTAAATTAGTCATTGAAAAAGAGTATGAGAAACGAAGTATGATAGAACCAAACAGGATCTAAAATCCCAATACATAGATTGTTTCCTTAGGATATTGAACAGCAATGAAAAAATGTTTATAGTGTTCCTAACAATACTGCCTTGTCTCCCAGTGAATTGCCGTTTTAGAGCATATGCAAGGAAAGTACCTCATTTATTCTCAAAGTTTCATCGAGAATGGTTTTGAAGTACAAAATTCCAGTCTTTGTAATGCAGACTGGGCTGTTGTGATATTTTTTCATAAGGACTGAAACTAATATAAGAGTTGTTACAGAATCTTCCATTTTTAAGGCTGAACACTTTTCCTAACAATTGATTCCCTACTTTAAATGATATTCTTAAGGATACTAAACCATAAGTTTATAAATATATTGCAGTTATAGTTCCGTAATAAACTTGCAGATCATTGAAAACAGAATTGAGAAATGTTGTTAATAGGCATTGCGTAATGTCAATAGCTAGTACATGACTCCACATTAAATGGAATTGACTGAAATTTCCTTTAAAATCAACAATCACCAAAGTGCTTTAATATTCAAATAAATGCCATATGTTTTAGGATATACCAGAAATGCCTTTTTCATAAAATGTTAGGTGAGATAGACCTCTCTACATTCACATTTTTTAAATATTAATTATATTTGACCTTTGCATGAGAGGAAGTTAATAGTTTTGGAGTATTTTATTCATTATTTGTCATGAAGCATTTAATGAAATTTTAATGTCTAGATTATTGTTAATATATGAAGATGATTTTTATTGACAAATGTAATTTGAAGCAGTGTAATTCTAATTGAAGTTATTACCGAAAGAATTCCTCCCAATTTGTCTGAATATTGTTAATTTGTCGTTTGTTTTTATTAACATGTTCTATGTAATCAAATAATCTCATGATCATTGATCAATATTCAATTCTTTAGAATATTGGTTGCATCCAGGAGGCATAAATTGTTGAATTTTTGTAGTAGTGCATTAGATACATGTATGACAAGATCTGATAGTGTCTCTTTTTGTAGTTCTCAGTATGCTTTAATAATGCTGAAACATTTTCATAATGTAATGGTGGGCATACTTATTGAGAAATCTGCAATAATATCCGCCATTTTGGCATTTTCTAGCATGCAGTGTGAGTACCTGATATTTCATTATTTTTGTTCTTTTTGTAGCTACCATGAATTTTGTAATAAATTTATATATGAAATTATTGTTTTATTTCTTAATATAATGAACCCAATGTGTGGTAAATTAATAGCAATTTGAAAAGTATCCTGAGAAGGCAGTATTATGGTGTTAGTGGTGATGATTACAATATTTCTTATCCGTGAGCTCTAACCCATTTACGAATTTTCATGCAAAGGAAATTGCTCACAATCGTGAAGATACAAACACTTGAAATTGATTGTAAAGTTTCGGGAATTTTGAAGAGAAAGTTTACATGAAATTGAAGAATCTACCTTATGATTAAAGTTGCCCATGAAGTGTAAGAGTTTGGACTATTCGGCGTAAATCACTATTTAGATTTATAAACATTCACTGAAAATGGCTAAGCATGAATTTTTACTGCTGTATTTATCAGACTGACGAGTAATCTCATTCGAAAAGAAAATCGCCTCATGTTCGTAGCTTAATCTTAGTCTGTTAGGAATTGTATGTACACTGAATTAGTGTCAAACGAATGTGGGAGTAGTAAGTTGCAAGGGCGATAGAGAATCTTTAAGTAATTGTTCGTATTCAGGATTCATTTGCCGGACGATCCAGACCAAGACAAACGAATGACATGGAAATTGAATCGTTTAAAATGAATTAAAATTCGAAGCCGGGCAAGTGCAAGCTACATTTTGCAAGACGGAAATCAAAGAATTCACATCGAAATAAGTACGAATCTTACATCCAGCCACACACAAATATTTGCTTAGTAAAACCCTTCCAACAGCACACTCCGTTACATCACGGAGAGTGCTGTTGGAATATGAGCGTGTGTGTTGTAGTGTTGGCAACGAGTGAATGGATGAATCAACGGTTCTTTCCCGCGAGCAGTGCTTTGCAGCGCAGGTCCGTGTGGCCGCAGTAGTGCAATGCTGCCACACTTCCCTGCTGTGGAGCCATCCCTATCCTTTCGGACATCTATGGCTGATCTGAAAATAGAGAAAAGAACATGGTCAGGAAAGACAATAGCCGTTCGGCGCGCTTTTGGCGTTGTTTACCGCAATTTTCATGCAAGTATTGGCGTCTCGCCTATGTTCTTTCCCGCCTTTTCAATCGTTTGCCCAGTACCTCCTAGATGGAGTAGTACATGATTTAGGTGGCATTGCGTTTGCCCAAGGATTACTTTGTAGTTCGCCCTTCTCCCGTACACGAATTTACTGAGCTAATGTGTCAATTTTTTATGCGTATTTAGTCGTCATAATAAAGCATTTATTTTATACTTTGGATTTGTCTTATGAAAATATTGCCTAAGTTATTTTTCAGTCTACATTGGTACGGTTACACCGAGTGAATCGGTCCATCATCCATGTAGTTCTTCGATGTTACGTCTGCTCCGCGGTGGCGCTAGTGAATAGTGACTCGACTATGTCACTCACGAGTCTTAAGAGCGAACCTCAGGTCTCATTCGTGCAACTTCCTTAAGTGTTGTATATTGAAGAATTCACCTAAAATTTATAAACCAAATATTAATGCAGTTTTGTAAAAGTAACAACTCACTTCATAGCTATTCCACGAGCGATTATACTTTTTCCATGTATTTATTATTTATTCACTTGAAAGGGAACTTCAGATTTATTGGGCAGTTTGAAATAAAATATGAAATTATTGATAATTTAAGTGATTCATAAAGGCATATTATGTTCGTTTTGTCCGAGGTGTACTAAGAATTCTATGATTACTTGCATTATTCATTAATTTCCATTTTCTCATTTTAATTTTCATTTTGAAAGAGCCGCCTAGATAACTGCGTTCCACCAATCACAGCACAGATACCGGTACACCTGGTGAACGATTTCAACGATTCAACCATGATTCAACGAATCAGTCTGAAAAGTAATCGGACTACCGGTTCAATCAACTACCCCTCCGGATGCTATCACTAGTGTGTGGAAGGATGTTTGTTACAAAATATATCAGGGTAGTGATACCGTACCAAATAAAGTAATAAAATCATTTTATTTGTTTGAAACATGTCGAAGCAATAGTGCTTGTTGCGAACGCAGTACTAGACGGTCGGAGAGACAGTGTCCCAGTGCAAATCGAAGAAAGACGCGCAACGCACGTGCGGGAGGTGTAGTACAATTATCTATTTAACACGAGAGCAATACCAATTTGATGTAAGTAAACATTCAATATAAACTTTTATTTCACTTAATATTAATTAATTTGAATTGTTTACATTTTTATTATATTTTCTTATTTTGGAAATTACATTTCTTTCATTCGATAAAAGTTCAGACGCTTAAGTCTGTTGAGGTATCAGCCGCCACTGATTTCAAGAATCCATTAGACAATGTGAAAGAACGATTAGGGAATGAGAGGCCACAAATACGAACGCAATGGGAGGGAAATTACAAGTGTAAGGTATAAGTCGTCGTATAAAGTATACGGGAAATCTTCGACGTCGAAAGTATAAGGGAATGTCCTTAGGTG